GAAAGGCAGTTGGCTGTTGATTAGTCCTTCAGAAGTGACCAAAAACTAGGCAGAATGGTTTCATTTTTGTTAAAGTGATTTTCCCTCGCCTGTTAAAGCAGCATCTCCGTGTTCAAGTTGCCCCATAGAATGTTCTGGCAACTCTGAAGTTGTCTCTCTTCCTCTCACGAGAGCTGCTTTACAACTGTGTTGAAATCCTGAGACAGGCAAAATATTAATAGATACTCTGTGTCCAATGGGGCCATTAGGATATTTTGGAAATGCTGGGTTAAAGTATTAACAGCTGAGGGATATTTCAGCCAGCCTTCTCGAGACTTTTAATATGTGAATAACACATGCAGGACTCCAAAGGGGCATGTGGGCATTTCCCAGATTCACCAGAATTCTGGGGAGTGGGGTGGGGCCATTCTCAAGGGGAGAGTCTAGGTGTGTTTTCTCCTCCTGACCACAGGTGATCCACCCGCCTCAGCCTCACAAAGTGCTGGGATTACAGGCGTGAACCACCACACCCAGCCGAAGTGTCATCTTAAACCACGAACGTCAGGCAGCCTTTGGACTGCAGTCTCTGAGTACTGTCATCAGAGTGGCAGGTGGAGCGGCAGGGACAGCATGAAAGACTTCCTGGACCATATTTTTTCTTTAAAAAGAGGCGTTCTGTATGACAGCGTGGGCAACAAAGCATTTTGAGACTACTGAGGCGAGGCGTTCCTCCTGGAGCCTCCGTTTTAAAGTGTGCGCTTAGCAGTTGTGGCTTGACAGCTGAAATTATAGGCACTCCAAACTGATCATTAAAGCTCGCATATAATTACCTTAATGAGACACAAGCCACACAAGATGTCCCAGATAACTCTGGTTGTCTCTGTTTTCCAGTTCCTTCCGCAGAGGTCACATCCGGCCAACCCTGCCTGCGTGACTCCTCATGGCACCGTTCTCCACCAGACCCTGGATTTTGATGAGTTCATCCCCCCACTCCCGCCTCCACCCTATTACCCACCAGAGTACACCTGCACACCCTCCGCCGAGGCCCAGAGGTTGGTCTCCCCGGCTGCTGACATCTCGAAACCACCGAGATCGGCAGCAGTGTCTGGGAGGTGGGAGTTGCGGTGGTCCTGCAGACATGGCGGTGAGAACAGAGGAGGGGCAGTGGAAGGAGAGGGTCTTGGACATAGAACATTCCCCGTGGCACCTTTGCAATGCAACCCAAAAGAAACCGGAGGCAGACAGGTGTCGCTGCCTTATGTTCTCATGACGTGCAAAGCTGCGGTCACGTTACAGTCATTTGTGTAACATGTGCAGTTTAATGAAAGATGTCATTGGCTGTATGATGATTTGAATTTTAATGGACAGGTCAATAGAGTTGATTGAAAATGTTGATGTCATTCCAGAAAAAAAGCCAAAAGTGTAAATCGCCCAGTGACTGAAGCTTTCATTTCACAATGATGGGAAGTATTAGGAGAGGGGAAGCCCTGGCCGCCCCTGCTCTGGCTGCTTTGAGAGCTGTCAGCACTTCTGCCGCCTCCTTTGGGCGATGATGATGTGATGGTTCTGTCTTTTTCAGGGGCCTCCACCTGGACTTTGCTCCGTCTCCATTCAGCACTTTGTATGACGAGGCCATCAACAGCCCTGGCCTGCTGTATCCCGCTGAGCTCCCCCCTCCCTATGAGGCGGTGGTGGGCCAGCCTCCTCCCAGCCAGGTGAGGCCCAGGGCCCCAGACAAGGCCAGTTCCCATGGAATGGTACGGACACTGTCCCGGCCAGCCCTTGGAAGGCACCTCACACCGCGCCAGGTCCGAGCTGGCTGTGGAGTGAACACCCATGAGCACCCTGTGCTGAGGCCCCGGGACGCATACATCTCTCTCGAAGCCTTTCAGCAAACCTGTGGGATGTTGGTCTTATTAGCCCTGTGCTGTAGATGAGGCCACAGGCTCAGAGAGTGGCACCTGCAGGGACGCCAGCCTGGGCCTGGGGCACCCAGGGTTGATGCTTTTCCCCTTGGCTCCCCAGTTCCGTTTCTGCAGCCGCGAGTCACAACCCAGGCGCATCTGAGCTTCGTGCTGGTGGGTGGTCTGGGATCCGGGCAGAAGGACCTGGGACAGCTCCTGACCCGAGGGGAGAGCCCCCAGGAGTGGAACTGGGTCCATGGACCAAGTACCCAGGGCGCCCCAGCCTGTCTTGATCCCACACTGCCATCACCACCATCTGGGAAGGGGAGAAAGCGGCCCTGGATCCCTGGTCCGGCCTGAGGCTGAGATGTTTCAGGCCAGAGAAGTGCCTCAGCCGCCAGGTCCTTCCGGCCTTCTCTGAGCTGGGCATGCCAGGCACTCCCGCAGCCTCATGGTGCCTGACACGACAGGCAGTGTGTTCGTGGAGCCTCAGTTTCCTCATCTGTAAAATGGGGATCATAATAGTACCAAGGTTATGGGATGAAATGGGATGTTGTCTGTAATGGAGCCAACAGGAGTTGGAACATAGTAAGATCTGAGTTCAGCAAAAGTCAGTCACCCTTTTGGGGTATTGTTTTCCTCCTCCTCATCGCTGTTGTCATGACTCAGTGTGGAATGCTACTAGCCAGGGCAGAGAGATGGGGACATCTGGAAAAGTCACGTGGCCCATAGTGCAAGGGACCCTCCAGGGACCCACCCTCCAAGGAATATGGGGTTATGTAAATAGACCAAATCGACAGCTCGCTGGTGTCCCTGAAATACAGGGAGAGAAAGCAAGCGACTGGAAAACATATTTCAGGATATCATCCGTGATACGTCACTGTCACTTTGAGATCCCGAGAGCCCATGTGCACACAAGCCAGGTGGCAATGCTGGTCCCTGTCCCAACCAGTGACCAAGGCAGCGCTGGCCCTGAGGAGCCCCTGTGGGTGGAGCAGCAGTTTCCATGTTGGCTGAAGAAGCTCACAAGCCCTGCTGACGGTCACACCCGCAAGGACTGGTCACCATTGCAGGCAGGGTGGGCTTAGGACAGGAGGAGATGCGACTGCCCCGTGCCCTGTGGAAACATGGACAGCACATTCAGACGCTGTAAGGCACCACGCACCTGGGGACTCATATATACCACAGGGACCTCCTTCAGGGTGGCTTGTGGTGGGCCAGCTCAGCTTCTGGCTGGCCGTGAGCCCCCAGTGCATCCTCACACAAGCAGACAGTCCCCGAGCAGCCACCCTGAAATGCCTAGAGCAGCTAGGCAGGCTGCAGCCAGTGACCCCTGAGCCCTGGCCAGGACCCCCTTTTTACTGTGGATACTAGAAGCAGATGTGTGGGGCTGCCTGTGGGGAGGGATCCTTTAGTGAGGAGGCGGCATGGCCCTGAAATCCCATTCCTGAACTTGCAGTAACGGAGATGTTCTTAGATGTTTTTATAAAGCTGAGCTGGGACCTCTGCCTTCCCAATGTTGTTTAGTTTTCTGTTTATGATAAAAATGATTCAAATCAGTGTTATCAGTGGAGACAGTTGGCTGTGATAAGAGTTTCATCAGCACTGCGAGGGGAGCCCAGTGCACTGTGGGGCAACTGCCATGACATCAGGCCCAATTTGGGGGTCCACGGAGGGTCTGGGAGGTCAGGCTGGGTGGGCATCAGGCAGGTGAGGTGCAGGGAGTGGGGCTGGAAGGGCTCCTGAGAGAGGGAACAGCCTGTGCGAAGGCTCAGAAGGAAGAAGGACAGGCACAGCGTATCCCCCAAACAGAAGGTCGTCCGTAAAGAGTGTCAGATGAGTGTGCGTGGGTGGTGACCCGTCTGGGTGTGGTGGGTTGAATTCTGAGTGAGTGTCCAGCAGACAACAGGAGCTGTAGTTCAGAGTGATCAGAGTTAGCTGCCGCTATCACTGGAGCCTGGGAAATGGCAGAGAGGGAGCCCCACAGAACGACACCATTGCAGGTGGCGATGGCACCCCCACACACGACAGGTTACAGGGCACTAGGCAGGCTCCCAGGAGCCTGGATTTGCCAAAACCAGCAGTTCCGGAAGGAAGCAGTGGGCCCAGTGCTGTCCAGAAGCTAACCCCCAGGGCCACGTGGCTTACTGTGGAGGGGCTGCTGGTGACCTTGGCAGAGCAGCTTTGATGGGATGGAGGGCAGGGCTGGACCAAGGCTGGACCACAAAGGAGTGAACGGCACATGCACAGGGGAGCGCAGGTGTGGCTGTGGTTTTCAGACACCAGTGGGTCCCCCCCTGGGGAACTTGATAATCAAATCCTAATGGCCAGGCCCACCCCCAGGGCTCCTGAGTCAGTAATTGGGGTATCGAAGTGGGGGGTTGGGGCTAAGAATCTGATGCCCGTCAAAGCCTCAGCGCCGCTGCTGCTCCTGCTTTGAGAGCCGGAGTAGATCACTCTTGCAGGGTGTTCGGTAAGGAGGAGAGAAGCTGGGATGGTAGGTAGAGGGGAGTGTGGATCTGGGACCTTTGAGGAGGTCAGCAGGCAGATGTGGAAGGACCTAGATGGTGGGGATGGCAGGCCCAGGACAGGGCCCTCCGTGAGGGAAGCCCCTGGGAAGGCAGAGGGGAGGCTGACCGAGGGTGCAATGGGCAGCTCCACGCTGTAGCCAGCAGGGGTACCGGGCAGGGCGGCGGGTGGATCTGGAAACCCCTGAAGGTGGCAGGGGTGTGTGGTTCCCCGTGGCTGCCTTGTGGCAAGGGGGCAGCTCTGTCCCCTCCACTGCCTCTGCTCAGTGACCCTGCCTGCTGCCATCACAATTCCAGCTCTGCACTGGGTCTGGCTCTGAGCCTGCTTCCCTGTTCTCCCTTCTGCCCCTTGGACCCCTCTGCCTCCCGACAACAGGAACCCCCGTCCATGGAGCCCAGGCCCTGGCTTCCCGAGGGAAGTAGCTTCTGCTGGAAGTAGCTTCCGGACCTGGGTGTGCCATTCAGTGCCTGACCCCACAGCGGCACCCGGAAGGAATGGGTTCCTGTTGTGTCACAATTTCACTTTTTTCTCTGAAGAACAGAATATATTGGAAGGGATCGGGCTGGTTCTGAAACCAATGCGACAGCCTTCTCCAAAACTCTGGGGAATTCTTTCAGTTGAGATTTCTTTCTCAGAACTGCGGTGAGAAGAGCTGAAAGGTCAGAGGCTGATCTTGAATTAGCTTGTGTTGGCTGAGAGACCCCCAGCTCCCCGTGCTGGCAGGGGCACAGCACGACCGCCTGCGGGGCCTGTCCCTGGGCGCCCCCTGGCAGCAGGGCAGCATCTGGTGATGAAGGAGCCGCTAGAGCCCTTGGGCCCACTCTCTTTGACCCCGTGGCCTGGGAGCACTTTTCAATTCACGGCCATGTCTGGGAGTCTGGAAATCAAAGAAGCCCATTACCATCCACAGAGGGAAGGCCATGCCGCCAGCTGCGCCACCAGCTGTCCCCTCCCCAGGCAGCAAGGCCCCCCGGCTAGTCAGCAAGGAGCGCCCCTTCACAGCACGATGCTGCACCCCGGGCGAGGCGGGGTCAGTTGCTTCTCCTTGTTAGGACAAATGTGCCCTCAGCACTCGTTTGGATGAAGAGAGGAGGCTGCAGAAGGCGGGCTCTGTGGGGGAAGAGCCCACTCTGGGGCGGGGCGGGGGGTGCACTGGGGAAGAGGTTTAACACAAGAGGGGGCAGCCTCCACAAGGGTGGGCTCCATAAGCACTCGCCTGGGTGATGGGCCGTACACTCTTCCTTTCCGGCTTAGGTCACAGGCCGGACTAGGGTAGGATTAGGTTAGATGCCATTGTCTTTCCTGTGGTTCGAGGCTGTACTCTTCAGCCAGTGTTCAGGGAGTGAGTTTCTTTTGATAGCACGAAAGTGATTGAGAAATTGCCAGTTTGATTTTCTTGTCCGGGTGGCAAGTGTATGTTTCAGGGACCACTGATGGCAGTGGTCCTCCAGGGGATATAGGACAGAATCCCCTTGTCACGGCACTCTCATATGGAGACCGGACAGAGACAAACTTCTCTGAGGCTTCTGCAGAAGAATTGGACCTGGTGATCTGGGTAGGCTGGGGTGCGTGTTGTGGGGAGGAGGTGATGTGGGGGGGTTGTCGGGGTGCTGGGGTGTGTGAAGGAGGGAGAAGTGATTGGGGGGGTGTGAAGGAGGGGGAGGTGATGTGGGGGATGGGGTGTGTGAAGGAGGCGGAGGTGATGTGGGGGCTGGAGTGTGTGAAGGAGGCGGAGGTGATGTGGGGGATGGGGTGTGTGAAGGAGGCGGAGGTGATGTGGGGGATGGGGTGTGTGAAGGAGGCGGAGGTGATGTGGGGGCTGGAATGTGTGAAGGAGGCGGAGGTGATGTGGGGGATGGGGTGTGTGAAGGGGGAGGTGATGT